GCCATGCGAGAACACGTCCCCGCCCCGCTGCCGGCTCCGCTGCCCCACGGCCAAAGACCCCTGCCAAGTCCTGCTCTCCAGGCGCTGGGCGGCACCGAGGGCAGCTGCCCTTGGCCTGGGCCTTTCCACCCTCGGCCCTCCCTCCCCTGGGGCCCAGCCACTCGGTTGGCCCCCCTGCGAGCTAGGCAGGTGGCAGCTCCCACTGGCTCGTGGAGGCGGCGACACGTAAGATGTGCAAAGCCCCGCCCCTTTCACGGAGTGGGGTGCTGGGGATTGTCTCAGCCAGAGACTCGCGAGCTGGGAGGACGGTGCGACCTCGCCCAGCTCAGAGTAAGAGCAGCAGAAAAGAGCCGCCGCGGCGCGCCCGGGGGTGAGGAGACCCGTTAGTGCAGCGGTTGGTGTGTTCACCCCGGGGACCCCCTTCAGCCCCGCCCTGTCTGGCAGCTGAACAGGGTCTGCCCGGCTCTCGCCGGCAGGGAGCAGAGTCCTAGCTCGGGCCTAGCGCGTCTTCCCGGCGAGTGCAGGAACGCCGGGGGGAGCGTGAGGGAGTCTCTGCAGGCCAGTGCCCCGGGCGCTCCCCTGAGAGCTGGTGCAGCCCAGCCCTTGGTCACACAGAGGGGCTTGCCCTGCGGGAGAAGCTGGGTCCTGCACCCCTTGGGCTGCTTCTCTGAGCATGCTGACTGGCCCGGTGGCCAAGCTCCTCTCCGACCCTGCGGCTGGGGCGGGGTGGGAGGGGGGGCCATGGGGGGGGTGGCAGCCAAGCGAGAGTGCTGTGGGTTGCAGTGGGGCCTGAGAGGGGATTTAGGCATCTGACTCTAGGGTTCGGATCCTGCGCAAATCCCAGCTGTGGTTGGTATCTAACCCTGCATCCGGCCCTGCTTTAAATGTGCCTAGTTTGGCTTGGGAGACACGCCAGTGGATCGGGCCCTTCGGAGGGAACAGTCTCTGCTTTTAACAAACGACAGCACCCAGGGGAATGGAGGCCAAATGCGTCCCCTCCTGGGTCTGAGAGTCCAGTCAGCCCGTTACCGTGGGGCAGGTCGCCTGCCGAGTGCTTGGGGCTGCAGGGCTGGCGCTTCCCCGCAGCTTCTCCGCTCGCTGGTGCGTGCGGGCGCCCCCAATAGCTGCGTTGCCCCCAGGACCTGTGCAGTGTCGGTGGCCCAGGCCCAGGCAGGGCAGCGTCCCCACAGGCCAAGCCCTGGGGACCTGCTCGTTCATACAGCCGCACATCCCTGCTCCGGTGCCACTGATCCCAGTGCCCGCTGGGACACGCAACTGGCACGGGAACAACGCCGGCCTGGGGCCTCGGCGCCTGACGCTAGTGCAGGGGCGGGCGAAACTGCTGGAGAAATGGGTGTTTGATGCGGTTTGGAAAGGAGCGCCTTCTCGCCAGTCCCTAGACACTCACCCACCATGTGCCCAGCGCCGCAGCCACCACCTCCTGCTGAGAGGCAGGAAAGGGCTGAGCTGGAGGGGGGAGCTGTGCAAGCAGCAGGAGCTGTTTGCAAAGCCCCCCCCCACACACACAGACAGACACCCCTCCCACTGCCCAAGCAAAGCATTGAAGCAAGGACTTAAATACACCCTTACTCAACCAAGCACTTGGGTACACACCATCCAAGTGAATGGGGCAGAAGCAGGGCGCCCGTATTTTGCAGAAGAGAGGTGGGAAGGGGCCTGTAAGGGGAAGCAGGAGCAAGGCTGGGATGGGTACAGGTTGGATCTCGGAGCCCGTTTCCAAACCGCGTCACAAACACCCATTTCTCCAGGAGCTTCACCCGCCCCCTGCACTAGCATCAGGAGCTGACGCCCCAGGCCGGCGTTGTTCCCGTGCCAGTCGCGTGTCCCAGCGGCACTGGGATCAGTGGCACCAGAGCAGGGATGTGCAGCTGTATTAATGAGCAGGTCCCCTGGTTGAATCTCTCTGGTCCGGCACCTCAAGGCCTGACTGTGCTGAGCCAGAGAATTGACTGGCCCATGGGAGGTGGATGCCGTCGAGCAGCATTCCCAACGGCGTCCCGCGTTTCATGCAAACTCTTGTCTTGGCTGCAGGCAAGCGCTGAAGCGCGATTACTTTTTGCTGCCACCCCAGGCCATGATCTCTGTGAAGTGCTCGTCGTACCACATGGCGTCCCGGTGTGTGCTGATGGGAGACGCCGCCCACGCCGTGGTACCCTTCTACGGGCAAGGCATGAACGCTGTGAGTTGGCCGTTCTTAGTGCCCTGCCGCTGGGTTTGAGCGCAGGCTTTCCTACCAGCTGGTTCCATTTCCTTGCACAACGGATTGGCTTGTTGGGTTTGAGGCTGGGAGGGGGAATCCGCTGGGTGTGAGCCACACAAGACTGACAGGCTGAAGGGACCTGTACAAGGTGGGCTGGTCCTGTCTGCCCCTGCAGAGTCACCCTGTGCCTGTATCGTCCGCTGCTGCTGGGGGGGGGAGAGGAATGCGTGGTCAGGCATACTTGGGCCAGCAGGCTACAGCTTCCCTTTTCAGTGACAGTCACAGTTCAGGGCAGCTGCACCTGGTGTGCCCCTCTGCGCCAGAAGGGCACCCGCTTGTAGGCTTGTGCCCCTCTTGCATGGAAAGCCATGTCCTCTCACTCCTGAGCCGGGTATTGCCAGGTTGCCTGCTCCCTGCCTACACTGCCAAGTTCCTTATTTTCCTCTTAGCTGGGGCCATGGCAGTTTGCCACCACTGACGTTACCACTCCATTGTTTCTGAGCAAGCCCCTTTACGCTTAAGGGAAAAGCATTACAGGGGACGTATGAAAGCAAGAGAAGCCTCCAGACGCATGGGAATAAGCCGCCCGGCAGCCACCCCCTGGCAAAGTCCGTCCTGCCTCCCCAGGCGTTTCCCTGTGGTTACCAGTGGAGAGAGTCTGTCGCTCAGAACCGGAGCTCCCAGTTTTATGGGGCCAAAGTCCTTCCAGCCCTTCCCTAAGGACTGAGACCTCTTGGGCCAAGGAGCTCATCTCTTGGCTGGGTCCGTCAGTTTTCTCTCAGGCTGTTGAGCTGCAAGTTCTTTCTCTGCCTAGTCCCTGTTCAGGTTGGGCCTCTCTCGCCCAGCACCCCCAGGTCCTCGCTAGGGTCAAACCCGAGAGGAGTCCGTGCTGTCCAGCAGCATTGCCCGTGATTATGTCTTCCAGGGATTTGAAGACTGCTTGGTCTTCGATGAGTTAATGGACCAGTTCCACAATGACCTCCGTGAGTAAATCCCCAGGCTTGGAAACCAGACCCGGCTGGGGATTCTGGGCAGCTTCGGCTGCAATCAGTCACCCAGAGGCGCCCCCAGGGATGCTCCCATGAGGCTGTGCAGGCCAGGCGGGATTAGCCACTAGTTGTCCCCAGGAAGGGGCAGTGCTAAGATCGTGGTGTTAGCGAAGATCCTTGTGGCCCCTTCTAATCCCAGCTAGTCGAGTGGTGGCCTGTCTGCTCCCGGGCCGCAGCACCCGGCGTTTTGCAAGTGGGGGGGGTTTCCTGCATCCTGTCCTGTGGGCCCAGGCCGTGGGTCTCACCGCCAAGAACAGCGGTGGGCCGGCTCTGTGGCTGCAGGGATCCCGAGTGAGTTCTTGCCTCACCGCAGGTCGAGGGGCTCTCTGCCCACGGCCATGGGCGGGTCTTTAGGAGACTGACCACACGAAGGAAAAGAGCCCAGGGCATTCACTGATGCAACCCAGACGCCTCCATTTCCACGCGCCTCCATGGGCATCACAGCAGGGTGACCCTAGTGCAGGAGCCAGGGGCAGATAGTGTCACTGGGATGCGGGCATCACTGTGCAGAGCTCTCTGAAAATGCAGTGGCAGGCACAAAAGCCAACGGAAGGGGGGCGGGGGTCGTTAGGAAAGGGACAGAGAACAAGGCCTGATTGGGGTCACTGGAGTCACCTGTATGTACCCGAGGATGCCTCCCAGGCTGGCTGTGAGTGACAGGTTCCCGAGACGCGCACACCCCAGGAAGCGCCCTGCGCCCTAGCGTGCCCCTTCCTGCGGGGACACAGCGCCAGGGAGCAGATGGGGGCTAACGATGGAACTGGCGCTCTTCCCCAGGGAGCTGCCTGCCCGAGTTCTCCCGGCTGCGTGTGCCCGACGACCACGCTATCTCCGACCTCGCCATGTACAACTACGTGGAGGTAAGGCTCGAGCTCTCTTCCAGCTCTGATGCTAGGGCACAGCGCGGCTCTGGGCTCGCTTGCAGGGAGCAGGTCGGCAGAGCTGTGGGAGTAACCTGGCCAGCTGTGCTGGGGGCGTGCAGGCCGGATTCACCCCCAGGCACAGCCGCTCTAGCGCCCTGCCCCCGCCCACAGCTGACCTCTGTGGTTTCTGTAAGAGAAATGAAACTTTCACCCTCCTTTGAGCTTGTGGGAGCCCCCGGGACGCCGGCCCCCCAGCACCTGCCCACGGTGCCAAGCTGGAAGTCTGGCCCTGCACCCCTGCTAGATCTCCAGCAGCTGCCAGGGAAAGAATCTCGTGCCTAGAACCATGGGCTACCCCTTCAGGCAGCTCCAGCAACCCGCTTAGGCTGTCCTGGGGGGCTGCTGATGGCCAGGCTTGGCTGGCCAGGGTGCTCAGAGCAGCGCCAAGCCCTTGGCTTAAGCAGGCAGCGGGAGGCAGTGGCACTCTGAGCCAGGTACTTGCAGCGGCAGGGTGCGAGCCCCACCTTTGAGCTCCGCGCTTTCTTCCAGATGCGCGCACACGTCAATTCCAAGTGGTTCCTTTTCCGCAAGTGCCTGGATAACTGTCTGCACTGGCTGATGCCCTCCACGGTGATCCCACTGTACACAATGGTAAGGCCTGCCTCTTGGTCCCCTGCCTCCCCGCCCCCCGGCTATGCCCGGCCAGCTGGCGGCACTCACAGCCTCTGCGCTCCGGTGCAGGTCACCTTCACTAGAATCCGCTACCACGAGGCCCTGCAGCGCTGGAAATGGCAGACCCAGGTGAGCGGGGACTGGCCCCCATTTCCATTGGCCCCAAAGCGAGTCTCATTCTCCCCAGACACTAGGAGCGGGGGGGCTGGCTGCTTGTGGGCGGGTGTCACAGCCCCTTCCGGCCTGCCAGCCTGGGCAGCAGCACTGCTTGTCCGCGGCACCAGACACGCTGGCCATGCCCCTGTGTTGCCAGAGCCGGGGCCAGGAGCTCAGTGGTTCCCGTCTCAGTGGGCAAGTCCCCAGGCTGCCTGTCTCCGCAGCCTCCAGCAGCCCACACCTCGCCCTGGAGAGACTGTGGCCTTTCCTGGAAGCCCCTTTGCTCTTCCCTCCTGCCTGCATAGCCCCAGCCCAGCCCTGCCGGGAACGGCCGCAGGATTTAGCAGGCCCCTGCTTGAATGACAGGCCATTGGGAGCTCAGGTTCCCTCAGCCTGCAACCTCAGCGACACCACAGACTGCCCTGTTCTCGCCAGGCCTGTCCCTCGCGGGATGCCCCTTCCTGAGCGACGACTCGGCCCCGAGATGTCTCCCCTGGCAGGAGGGGGGGGGGCCTGCAGTGCTCAGTGCTGATCCCCGCCAGCCAGGCTCGACGCTTCCAGTCTCAGCAAAGCCCCGTGCCCATGGGACAGGCACCGGAGCCTGGCTGTCAGCCGGGCCTCACTTGGCACTGCCCCAGTCTGCAGGCGTCTCCGTGCTCCCGCCCGAGGGGGTCGCGCTGTGGTACAACAGCCCTTCTGAGCCAGGCTGCGTGTCTCCTTGCACTTGCAGGTGATTAATAAAGGACTCTTCCTAATTGGGGCAGCTGCAGCGCTGGGTGGCCTCTACCCGCTCGCCAAGTGGGGCGCCCGTACGGCTGGCTCCGAAAAGCCGTGGAGCTGGGTGCTTCAGCTCAGGAACCTTGGAAGTCTCCTGCCAGCAACGCCCCGGGCATAAGGCAGGGGAGCCCCGAGGGCACGCACAAGTCTAGCTGGAAACTCCTCCGTGTTCATCTTCCCATCCACCAGGCAGGAGCCCTCTGGCCCCCAGAGAGCTCAGAGCCAGGCCTTGGCGGTACTCGCCAGGCATTGGCACCAGTGTTCCCTGTAAACTCTGCCGGGAGCGCCCGTGTGCTCAGCTTACAACCCTTTGCTGCTTAGAAACGCCCCCCTCCGCCGCCTGGCGCAAACTTGCTCCCTCGCCTGCGCCTGGAGGCAAACGTGCCGGCCCAGCGCCATCCGCGTGGGGCTCAGACAGGGCAAGCGCCACGGTCAGTACTTGCCTAGTCCTTGTTTTCCGTCCCTCTGCCACCAGACCTGCCAGCCTGTCGTCTGCAGCATCTGGCTGGGCCCTCGGGGGTTGGCTTGTGAGTGTGACACTGAACTGACGAACAGCGCCACGTCCACAGTGTGTGCCTGGGCACGGGGCGGCGCTGCAGGAGGGGGGGCTCAGACAGGGCAAGCGCCACGGTCAGTACTTGCCTAGTCCTTGTTTTCCGTCCCTCTGCCACCAGACCTGCCAGCCTGTCGTCTGCAGCATCTGGCTGGGCCCTCGGGGGTTGGCTTGTGAGTGTGACACTGAACTGACGAACAGCGCCACGTCCACAGTGTGTGCCTGGGCACGGGGCGGCGCTGCAGGAAGGCCCCGTCAGGCTACAGGTGCAGCAGGAAGTGCCACCCAGCCACAGGCAATTCCTTCAGTGCAGCCACAAACCCCTCGTGCCACCTGACCCCCCCGGGGGCCTCCGCCACTCTTGGCAGCGAGTGCCTAATGTGCCTAATGGATAAGTTGGCCCTGCCTGCCAGAGTGTGTACACAGTGCTTAACGAATGGCGCCTGGAGTAATTATAACTAACTAGCTCTGTTGTCAGCAAGGCGTCTCCCTCTTGCTGGAGTCTCACCCATCACCCTGCTCCATCCATGTTTGGACTCTGGACCTGCGTCACTCCCAGACCATGGCATCCCCTTCAGGACACTGCCCTCTGGCAGTGCCCACTAACGTGATCTCTCATCCCCCTTCTGGGGTTATGTAGTGGGGTCTATTTGGAAAACCATGGGAGAGTTCTAAAAGCCCCTCCCCAGCCTTATGGGAGGGACACTGGACCCATGTCCAATTAATTTCGGGGGACAAATAATGAAAAAAGGATCAGGGAGTGCAGGCTAAAGGTTTAAAACTAGGGAGCCGGATGGGGACACCGAGCAGAGAACCCCAGACAGAGCCCACTGCTCCTCAAAGCTATCGAAGGAGCCAGTGGACGCCGCCCAGAGGAACTCTGCCTGGATTCGTGAAACCAGGGAGGAATGGAAATAGGCCCCACAGTCGCAGTGTGGGAGGCCACCCACAGGGCACGGCCACGGAAACAGGGCCGGCTGCTTCGGGAAGTCGGGTTCCCATTGCCTCTCTGCGATCCCAGGCCTCACACCCCGGGTGGACTGTGAGCACTGGGAGGCTGCTACCCAGGCAAGAGCTGTGAGCACTGGCCAACAGGCACAGCGGAGCCCAGTCGGTCTGAGGCCGACGCAGGCCAAAGTGAGGCCTCAGGGCTCGTGTAGTGCCGGGGTTATTGGTCGGTAAGCACCTCGCGCCACCCTTGTCTGCCCAAACAAAGCTGTGAGATCCCGAGAGCTGGGACCTGTCAGTCTGTGGGACCGAGACGTGTTGTGCCACCGGGCGCTGCCGGGCCTGCTTGCGGCGCCTCCTCGGCACTAGCACGTCCTGCGTCGAGGTGGGGGTGCTGGGCACTGTTTGGGATTCGCTGCCATAATCGCTACCCCGGCACTGTCATGTGGGGCCAGCACCTGCTTGCTTGCCTCGCAGCCATGCACGGCCAGGCCTGGTAGAGTGCAGGGCAGAGGGAGGCTATTACCTGCGCCCCAAAGGCCCCTGCGAGGCTGCACCTGCTTGGTGCCCACCGTGGGGCTGGGCATGGGGGCCTAAGGCCGCCGGCAGTGCACAGGAGCAGGCTGCAAGGTTGCAAACGCGGGGGCCTTCCTGCTTTCACAACTCTCATTTTTTAAAAACGAAACGTGGCAGTAGAACGTCCCAGGGCCGTGCTGGAAAAGCCGGGGTCCCTTCCTGCCAGGCCCTGCTGGGCAAGCGGCTCCCTGCGGTCCATGGAGGAGACAGCCTAGGGAAAGGGGCTGGAGTTTAGGGGCCAGTCTCCCCCCAACTCAAGGGGGCCTGAGGCATCCTAGGCCAGCTCTGTGACCAGATTCCATCTGTGCTGTGCTGTATCCTGGAGGGGCAATAACCTTCCTCTATTCCACCGGCTGGTGCAGTCTGTTTGTGCCATTTCGGGGTGCAGGAGACGCGGGACCCCCAACACGCCGTCACAGGGGGCAGCCCCACGCTCACAGTCCAGCAGGGGGCAGTGCCCTAGGGCCAGCCCGGGCTGGGAGAAGGCTCCCACTGCCAGCAGCCAGCCCCATGCACCTCAGTCCAGCTGCCATGGAGGGGAGGGGTCCCCATAGCGGAGCCAGCTCAGACCATGTGACAACCCAGGTGCACTGTGCTGATGGCCGTGTGGGTACGGACAACAGGGGCTAGCTCTCTGCGAGGGCGGGGCAGGCCCAAGGGGGCTAGCTCTCTGCGAGGCGGGGCAGGCGGCAGGCCCAAGGGAGCTAGCTCTCTGTGAGGGCGGGGGAGGGGGCAGACCCAAGGGGGCTAGGTCTCTGTAAGGGCGGGGCCAGGACGGCTTGCACCACTTCCTCAGCTGTCCCGGGGGCAAAGCGCTGTGGGTAGGGGCTGGGGCAGGCTCAGCAGGCTCCTGCTGGGCTGGCTGGTTTTATTAGTTGTCAATGTGGCACTGGAGCAGAGTGAGTGGGACATGAGGCGACAGGCAAACTGGGCTCCCCAGAAAGCGAGTTCTGGATTCAGGCAGGACTTGCAGGCGTGACCCTGGGCACTGAGGGCTGGTCCTTCATAGTGCCACTTCCAGCTAGCCCGGAGAGCCTG